ATAAAAAGCGACATGCAGTAGTAATAGGTTTGATATACAACTTATTATTTGGAGTATCAAACCCTCCTTGAAAAATGGGCATCCCGATGAGGTTTTCGTTTCTCGGTGATTCATCCATGTATAGACAAAAGAGCACATCATCGACTTGGATAAACAGCTTCATTGTAGTCATCTTCCATGTTACCTTACCAAATTTGAATTCAACTCCTATATCCACTTTTGTGGGTATCGTCCCGTCGTAACAGAGAAGATTGTCCATCTGATATCCTTCATACCCCGCATCACTCATTTTCTTGGTGATTTTGTAGACGACAACATCGTATATTTCAGGGACCAAACTAATAGTAGCAGTTCCCGTGTCCAATATCGAATTGTATTTGGACAAAACGTTTTCTATACCTAGACTTCCTCCATTGATGACTATTGAAGTCATATTGATTTTATACGTCATTTGCTTTGTATCTAATGACACTTTCATTCCCGCAAACACTGCATCAGTTCCTAAGGCAAGAAAATACTTTTGGTCGCCAATATTGTTAAAACTTTCAATGCATATAGAGAATTTTCCCCCAAATGAATTGAGTATAGAAAATTCACCCAACTTTAATCCTAAGAGCATGAGTAATGGTGATACAATGTGGGTATCATTAAATATAAAATTATTAAAATTTGAGTTAAAGGAAGAAAGAGAGTGTTTTTGATTGAAATAGTGGGGTATATTGAAATATAAAATTAATAAAATTTGAATAAAGAGAAGAGATAATTGATATTTTTGGAGAGAGGGTATCAAATAGTTGATARTTTTGATATTTTTGAAGAGAGAAAGAGAGAGTGTATCAAATGTTTTTAATAATTTTATATTTAAAGAGAATATAAAATTAATAAAAGTTGAGTAAAWGGATGAAAGAYAAGGTATAAAGTGGAGTAAAAGGAAYAGAGAGTGTGTTTTTAATATTTGTTTATTCAACTGATACAGCATCGGTATCACAGATGCTGATGCTCTAAACTACCCGTCCCAGCTTGCGGCCCACCAACAGTTTTGCCAAAGCCAAACAACACGTTCTTTAGACTGCCTAATTCATGACTTCCGAAAGTAAACGTTTCGGTACCAAAAGTACCTATATATGCTGCATTGTCCGCGAGTCTTTTGTTGTAGTCGCATTGTCCCCATATCTTACTGCGAGTCACTGACTTGATTATAGGTAATCCGTGACAGCTTCTATAACTGAAAGACGATGACTTTGATGGATCATAACCGGAGGAGGAGTTGTGGAGCACCCATGTTAAATCTAAACCCGTGTCGATGTGTAATCGTTGTTTCAATGGGGGATATCCAACTGACACAAGTGCATAAGCTGCAGGTGGATCTTTTTGGAGAGCGATGTGGATTATCTTTCTCTCATTTTCTCCTAAGCTTAATGTTTCCCTTGGAATAGGCCTCCTAGACATGATACTAGGCC